GAGCTTGACATACTCGGGTGAAACATATTTCAGGAGGAACGAATCAGCGCCCATCGAGTCGTACTGGCTGCATCCTCGAATTATTTCAAAACCTTGTTTACCAGGGACATGACTGAAAACCGCTCGCGTGTGTTCAATACACTGGCAATTAAATGCACAAATATTGCAATATTCCTCTTATTGACTCTTGTTTTTTCTCAGAAGAAGTGTATTTGGGTAATATGGAAGCATCTGTTGTTGACGCCCTTGTGAAGTTCTGCTACTCTGGAGAGATAAATATTAGTAACGCCAATGTATTGAACATTCTATCCACTGCTCGTTTGTTTCAATTGGACCAGGTTGAGGTTGTGGTATTTTCACGAGAAAGGGTACTATAAAGTTGTGATCCTTCATCTCTGTTGTAGGAGTTGTGTCGTGAATTCCTGAAAAGAAAGTTGGAGCCGTCCAGTTCCTTGGTAGTACGACCGGTTACCGACAGTATTTCGTGTCCTGAAGCCGACGAGAATGTCTTGCATAACTTCGAAGTTATTACTTTATTGTTAGTGACCCTTAGCTTGCAAAAATCTCTTTTTTTTCAGAATGCTGTGAATACGGAAAAAGCTCATGAAATTCTCGTTAACCAACTAGTTGAACTGATTTTAAATGAAGAGCTAAGTGTACGATTAATGGCGCAGGTATATGGACCAGTTTTGTATGATATTGTAATGTTGCTTTGTGACCACATTATGCTCATTCTATTCTTGATTGACCGCTACAAACTCTTTTAGATTGTTAATGCAGTGCTTCGGTGGATCAGGTCCGACCTGTCAGCTCGAAAACAATTTCTATCAGAGGTAAAACCCTGGGTACCTCGTCGGGATAGCTGTTTTGATTTCTGATACTGTAGGTGAAATCCTTGACAACACAGCAAGTGGTGACACATCAGCGAATGCAGATGTCTCTTGCTAAAAAGTCGATGGAACTAAGATCTGCCGTCTCTCTTGATACCTTATTTCTCAATTTTCCCTTTTTCAGAGCTCATGGCAACTATCTGCACCCGAACGACTCAGCAAGCAGTTACTAAGCACCCATCAGAAGGATTCATCCAAATTTCGTGAAGTATTATACGTTGGTATGACGAAAGCTAGCAGGTTTTTTCCCTGCTTCAACATTGCGATTCTGGGATGGCACGTATAAGGCTGCGTTTATACTTTGCGGCAGCGTAGCGTAGCGCGTAGCGTAGCGCTTCCAGCGTACGCCAGCGGCAGTGTCGGGGAAAGGATAGATATCGATCTAGCGTTCCCAGCGTCACCAGCGTACGCTAGCGCTTGCAGCGACGGGCTAGAGAGGGGCTAGAGAGTATTGAAGAGTAGGAGAGTACGAAATACTCTCCTGCTCTTCTATACTCTCTAGCCCCGTCGCTGCAAGCGCTAGCGTACGTCGGTGACGCTAGAGCGATACTATCAACTCCCCTGACACTGCCGCCTGCGTACGCGGAAGCGCTAGGGTACGGCCACGTACGCCTAGTAAAGTATTAAATGCAGCCTAACTTCTCTCCCTAGAATCGTTTAGCCAGATTGGAAGTTCAGACCTGATAAGAAAGCGGCTCCAAATATGGCTTTGTATACTGAACTGCGCGCATGGACAAGTTGGTTATCCTTTCTCTTGTCAGACTGGCGGTGTGTCAAAACGATACCAGAGCGCTTGAAGTCAAAGTCTGTAGAACCGTCGTTCATGTCGCAACATACGGTGCTGAATTATGGGCCACGTCTAAATAAGTTGAAACCGGCTTTTATGAAAATGTTGCGCTGGACGGCCGGCATCATGTGCATGAATCGCGCTAGCGATAACGACATACGCAAGGGACTCGTGTAGCTCCCGTGGTAAAAAAATGCGCGAAGCTTGCCTCCGGTGGTATGGTCATGTATTGCGCGAGAATTCTGACACCGTCCGTAGGACAAATCTCAAGCTCGAGGTGCTCGAAAAGTGGCCCAGGTGACGATCCAAGCAGCACCGGATGTACACGTTGCATTCGTACTTGAAAGTAGTTGGCATCCATTAGGCATCCAGTCGGGAGAAGTGGCGTCACAAAATAAGAACAGCAGACCTCCACCATAGAGCGGGCAAGCGCTGATTCTATGTGGAAATGGTAAAGAGAGATTACTTCAAAATGAAAAGACCAGGGCTGAACTAGAGATACCTGTATGGAGTGTTGAGAAATGGTAAATACCTTATCACTAGCAGTCTGTTTTTGGTGTGCATCACTTTGTATCCAATGGTCCCTCAGCACTACAGAATATTGAGATGCATTGTCTTTTCCTGCTGAGTTACTTTTCAGTGGGAGGATACGGCCACGCTTCCGGAGAATACTTCGATCCTTGGGGAGAAATTCCCAGTGTGGCGTCGAATCCCCTCCATGAGCATTACAAGGTAGGTCATAAAATAGTGAGTGTGCTTTCCAATAACAACTTCCTTTTATAGAGCATATGCCGGCGTTGCTGCTCTCGACGATTTGCTTTACGTTGTTGGCGGCTTGAGTGACGGAAAGCGTGTGAATAGTGCTGAGAGGTATTAAGCGAATTCTAACCTTTTTTACGAATAACTAGAGACAAAATTGTGTAATATTACGGTTCGGTATTCACTGCGTGACAGAACTATCAATATTTGCAAAAATTATTTCTTAGCAGTGACTATTTGACCAGCTTGATTGTTGTTGGTAGACCTGATTCATTTTTATACATGGTAGAGCCAGTGGAAATGCTTGGTATGGGTACAGTCAGGTTTGTA